TTCTGGGTCTTTGGAAGGGTGTTCTGGCTCTGGGCCTCCCCTGTTTGTTTTCAGAGCTACCAAGAGCAGCAGTAAAGCCACAGGGCCCTTTCTGCAAGCGTCACAAAGTGAACATACTGCACAATAAAACCCCAGCCCCACTCACAGCCCGCCTGGTGTGGGTTTAGGGGCCAGCCCTGAGGGGAGGTGGTTGTCACCAGCACAGGGCAAGTTCACCACGTGGCTCAAGAACAGGTATTTCACACAGACAGCACGACAGTGCCACAACATGCCCCGGCCATGTCACACCACGGGATCCCCTGTGTGATGACAAGAGTTCAAACAAGCACCAGATGCTCCCAGATCATCTCCAGGAGGAACCAACCCCTGACTACAAATGCCCATCGGTGTGGCTGTCAGCACTGCCAAGAATAAAAGAAGGTGGCATAAAAAAGTAGCTGTTTTACTGTCCGAGCATGAAAAAAAAAGCCCCGACAAATTCAGGTTTTATTAAGAGAAAGTGAAGAAACGCAGGCATCCTGCACAGAAGCCAAGCAAATGACAGCATCAGGTACAGCAAACCTCGGCAGCAGCGGTGATTTATGAAAGCCAAGCAAGCAGCCGTATAATTGCTTTAAGTAAGCCCCGACTTAAAGACGAAACTGCATTTGAATTGAAGGCGGGGAGGGGGGAGGAGGGCCATCGGAGCCCTGAGGAGGATCCTTAGAGACGAGTAACCCGAGAAAGGCTGGCGAACACGCGCCATCGATCGGGAGTGAGGTAACCACAACCACCGCCGGCTCAAATGAAAAGGGATTCGAGGGCTGACCCAGAAAACAAGCGTCGTAACCGCCGGGATGAAATTTTAATGATCAACACAAGGCGCGCCGCCCTGATCGAATTATCTGATGTCAGCCCGGAACGCGGGCACAAAGGGAGCCGCTCGGCCACCTTCCCTCCCGGCTCCCTGCCGCTCCATCCAGCCTGGATACTCTGCCATCTCCTGGCTCCGGGAAGGCAGGAGAGCGCATGGAATAGGTGCGTTTTTCCAAGGGAGAGCTCATCCCGTGAAGTTTATCTTTTGCTTCCTTCGCGAAAGTAATGAGCCGAGCTCCCGAACCACTTCGGACAAGGTGTGCCTCCATAAATCCCACTCGCGGCTGCTGGTTTAACTCTGCCCACAGCCTGCACGAATTCCTTGTGGGAAGATGAAAAAAAAGCTCTACAGCAACTAGAATAGAAATTCTTCCACCTCCCAGCAGAGTTTGAAGGAGTACAGTGATGAACACAAGGTCAGGTCTATCACAGCACAGGTTCAGATCAAATCAGACTGATTCCAGGCTTGCTCCAAGGCTCCCAAAACACACCAGCCCCGGCATTTTTCCTGGGGAACCCCTCTGTCCAACTAGGACTACTCTCTCCAGCTAGAACTTAATCGAGTACTGCCATAAAAGACCATTAAAGATGTTTCTATTAGCGACAAAAGGAGGGCTAAGGAGAATCTCCATCCTTTACTGCATCGGGGGGAACATGTGACTAAGGATGAGGAAAAGGCTGAGGGACTTGATGTGTTCTTTAACAGTCAGGCCAGTTGTTCTCAGGTGGAAGACAGGGATGGGAGCAGGATGAAGTGCCCATAATCCAAAGGGAAGCACACAGATGGGTCCCTGGAGCAGATGGGATCCAGCCAAGGGTGCTGAGGGACCTGGCAAAGAGCTCACCGAGCCACCTTGCACCATTTCCCAGCAGTCCTGGCTCACTGGGTGACTGGAAGTGGTGCCCACCTAGAAGATGGGCTGGAGGGAGGATCCAGGGAATCAGCCTCACCTGAGTGCCAGGGGAAGTTACGGAGCAGAACAGCAACAAGGTGACGTGGTGGGTCCTACCCTTGGAACCCCATGGAATGCTACAGGATTGGGGAAGGATGGCTGGACAAGGTGGACAGGGAGCTGGAGAGATGGCTGACAGCTGGGCAAGTGGCCAATGGCCCCTGGGCTGTGCCAGCCCTGCTGTGTCCCAGCCCCAGGGCAGTGCCCATCCCTGTGCTGGCACTGCTGGGGCACCTCCAGCCCTGGGGGCAGCTCTGGGCCCCTGCAGTGGTTTGGTTTAGGCCTCTTCCTGGCAACCAGGTCAAAACTAAGGAAGTCCCCATATCCCAATATTCCATTCTGTTCTTTACATAAGCAGAAATATAAATAGAAGGGGGGAGGAATTTGGAGGGGAGATCTCTTCTTGGAGAGGAGGAGTTGGAGGAAGCACAGCAACCTCCCTGTGGCTGGGCTGCTCGTGTGGGAGTGCAGGCCTGTAAGGTTTTGAGAGGTTGTTGCTTCTTCCTGATTTGAGAGGAGAGATCTGGTGGTGTGGACTCTGCTTTCTTAAGGAAAGTATTAAGATTTCGTTTCCTAGTTCTTTATTGGCTGCGTATACCTGTTTTTCTGGTTTTTTGAGGTGTTGGGGTTCTCTTTCTTGTAACTGTAACTGTATGTAAGTGTAAAATATATATATACACTGCTTGGGTTCTGTTATTTCGGTCTCAGTAGTTTTTTTTTATTCCCTTTCTTTCCCCTGTGCTCATAAAAGGAGGGGGGAAGCCCTTTGCTGTGGTCTTGGGTGCTTGGTGGGGGAGCCAAGGCCAAACAAGAGGGACACGGAGGGGCTGGAGCGTGGGCAGGGAAGGGAACGGAGCTGGGGAAGGGGCTGGAGCAGCAGGAGCAGCTGAGGGAGCTGTGATCCAAAACCCTGCTAAACACTGAGTGGCACAGCTCAGGAAAACCCCAGGAAATGCCCCCCAGTGCTGGATTAACATCAGGAGCACCCCCAGCTCCTCAGGCCTTGCAAAGTCACACACCAGCTCTGCTTACACCCAGGACAAGTCTGACTGCCATCACTGATTATTCACGTGCAAAGCTGAGCCCAGAAGTGTTTGTGAAACTGGAGAGAGAATCATTAAATGTAACAGATAATTGATATTTATACTGAGAAGAGAATTGACTCTGTAAACCTCAGCTATTAAATTACTTGTTCAGAATGCAACAGTTTGCTATTGATCACCAGATTCATTACACTTTTATGGCAGATCTGAAAGCACAATGCCATTAAGTACAATGTTACAAGCTGGGAGAGAAAGGGGAGGGTTATGTTTGGTTTTAAAAAAAGATAAAATACAACAAACAACAAAACCCCGATGAGTCCCTCAATCTACATGTCATAAATACTTACCAAATGCACATAACAAAGTCTTTCCCTGCACCATTTGCTAATGTCCTTGGAAGCTGTAGTTCTCTCATTTGCTATTTACCACTTATCAAATTAAGAGAGGCTTTCAGAGATCTCCAGCCACCAGAGCAGAGCGAAGGGCAAGCAGTGAACAGCAAAGGGCATCACTTTTGGGTTGTAATATTCCAAACATTTCATTTACTAAACCAGGGAAAGTCAAACAGCTGAATTCCGATTGCTGCTTTATCAAACGTGTTCTCCCAGCTCCATAAAAAGAGAATTCATTTTCTCAGAGAAGAGAAATTCCTGGAGGGTAATTTAAATGAACACTGCTTTTTCTACAGCGTACACACGGGCAGCTTTTCCCTCAGAGGTCTCTTACCTGCTCACCTATTTTCAGGAACCTTTCAGGAGCCTGAATTATTTACTGGCACCACCTCCCTTCATGTGACTGATGCAAACTCACCAAAAGAATCAAGAGATACTGGAGGAACTGGGGAACCAGTATGAAAAGAGTGTGTGAGACAGCTTCAACCCAACTTCTGTAACACACCAAGCTAAAATATGGACTGCCTGAGTTTGACAGGCAGGACTAATAACCCTTTGTTATTTAAAGTATTCGTATTAAAGTGATAATAGCCTTTATTAATACTTTGGAAATGTAATTTATTCTGCCTAACTTCCTTATATTGCCTGTCTGATTACAAACACAACGGATACAGCAGCAGAACATCCCGTGGAAGGCACAGAAGGAGGATCAACAGGATGGCAAAGAGAACAGAAAGGGAGAGCTGCACATGGAGAAGGGAAACTAGTGGGAGAACATCCAGTAAAAGAAAACAACCTCTAAATAAACCAGCTCCTTTCACTCCTGCTGACAGTTTAGATTTCTGCTCAGTTGCCCAAGAGCACTCAAAAGCATTTCTGTGTCTGAGAGAGTTTTCAAGGCACCTTTCTTAAAACCAGGCTGTGAATTTTATAGTATTTTACAAGTGGTTTTCTCTAATCCCACAGTGTTGAAGCACAGTATTAACATGAAGTGTTACTATAAAATATGGGATTCTGGTATGTTAAGGACAATGTGCCCTGACTGCCCCCAGATGAATTTTAATTCCTCGTGTGACTTATAGAGGGGCTACTAATTACTGAACCTGTAAAACTGAACTAGAAAACAGTTAAACTTTACACCTATTTAGACAGTCAAGAGAGTTTGTGAGGCTCTTAAAATTCTATTTAAGTGTGTAAACCAAATGAATGGTTAGTATTAAATCAAGGTCCAGAAAAAGCTTTATATTGGGAAAAGAAAACTTCGAGTTTATCTATTTTTGGGTAGGTTGTTAACAATGGAGGAAAGCAGCAAGTCCTTCTAAAGTTATTTTTGTGGGCTGTGACAAGATATCCTTGTGATTAAGAGATTTTTAGGGGGAAAAATAACAAAAAGAGAGTAGATGTGGACAATATTTAACACATTCTGGGTGCTTCCCCAGCAAACCAATAGACACAGTTCATCAGAAAGCAGTTTACAGGGACTACATGTATAGAGATAACTTTAGAAGAGTACAATAAAAACTGGCACTGCTGAAATAATTTGTAGATAACCGACATTATCAGTCACTTAAGGGCAGTTTATCCAAGGATAACCATCATTATCAGGCATTTGAGGACAGTCTCTCACCAGGAGGAATTGCAGCCAGGTAAATCCATCCCGTTGCCTCGAGGGGGTGTTGCTTTTGAAGGCGTTGAGAGCAGCACAGGAGATATCACAAGGTGAAGATAAAATGGGCCTTCCACAGCCTCACACTCACCCAGCAATGACAACTCCATCCCAGGAGTGGACATCACACAGCACCTTCCCCAGCTCGTACCTCAGCTGGCTCACGGCTCCGATCCGGTTCTGCCACAGAGGACAAAGGGGGATGATATTCCCGCTCCTTCATCCCCCAAAATCCCCCAGGTGGAAAACCCTGAGCTCTGCTTTTGCTGCTGCAGCAGCACAGCTTGAGAGGAAAGGCACTTCCATCCTATAAATCCCTCAGCAGCTCCCACCTTCTAACAGGCAAAAAGGAGCTGCAATACACGGTTATATTCCTTCCAAAAGGATTCTCTGCAGCACTGGGGGAAGACGTTGGGAAATCCTTTTAACTTTGGTACAACAGTGTTTGATCCTTCCATCTGTGCCAGCTGTTGCTTCCTTATCTCCCTGTATCAGTGATTAACAGGTACTAGGAGGTGTCTTAGCTGTGTGTCAGAGCAAAGGATGGTAAGAGAGGTACGTTATGACCCGACCACATATTTGAGATGCTCTCAAGGAGAGGAGATTCCTTAGAAGATCTGGAACCATATCCAAGAAATTATTAGCACACATGCATGTATGCAGGAAATATAATCAATATGTAACAGAAATGTGATGAACATGTCTTAGTTTCGTGACCAGAACCTGGGCTGTTGGATTGCTGGGTGTAGGTGACACGTGGAGTTATCCCCAATAATAGCGTTATTCCCCTTCATAAAGGAATGTCAGCTTTCTAACCCAATAAACTGCTTGGACACTTGATTTCCAGCTTTTCCCTCCCACCTGCTGGAAGCAGGTTCCCATTTTTCTACAGCACCTGGATGCCACTGAAGAGACCCCCTCTCACCTTCCAGTTGTATTTCAAGGTGCGCTCCCGGGCCCGGCAGTTCCTGAGGGCGACTTTCCAGCAGGACTGGTCGGAGATGCTCATATCCAACAGGTATCCCTCCTCTTGGCACAGCCTGTACCACAGCACTTCGTCTTCTGCAAGGATTTTCCACGTCCTGCTGACCTAAAAAAATCAAATTTTGATACGTGTGTCTCACACATCCACGTTTGGACAACGCTCGGAGGGGTTTCTGGGGTGTCCCGTGTAGAGCCAGGAGTTGGACTGGATCCTGATGGCTCCCTTCCAACTCAGGATATTCTATGATTTTACAATAAATTTATAAGTAAAAATTACATTTAATATAAAATTATTTATATAGCACCTGAAATACAAACTTTTAAGTCGATATAGGCCTGCACTGAGATTAAATTCTTAGCTAAACAAATATATTTATGCACCCATATAAAAGCCCCAAACCCTTAACAAAATGCTTGTTTTCTGTGGGTTCTTTTGGAAACAACTGAGTTTCTACTCCACTAAAACCCCACACACCACTTTAGTGGCCACACTGCCAATCTGAAATATCAGTGCACTGGAAAACTTTAGTTTTCAGTATCAGTGCACTTGTCAAACCATGACAAGGGAAAAGGAGCAACAAAACAATTAAGGCAGCACTGTAAGCTTAGAGAAAAATATGAATTTATCTTCATATTTGGAGCTAAGAAGCCCTCTCATATCACACCACCACATCTCCAAAGTCCCACTGACAATGCCTGATTAGGGGTATGACATTAGTGATTTATAACCTATTGTATTACAGTATGCAGAAATAGGAATGAATTATTAAGTTTTTGAAGCAGCCTCAAGTTGCTGGCCATTCCAGAGAGAACAGCTTCATCACAATCAATTGTGGGCTCAGAATTAAAGATTCAAGAGGTAAGAGCCAACTTAAGTAGCATTTGTTCCCTGTAATTCTTAATTTAAAAAGAAAAAAACACAACAACAGCCGTAACCAATGAAACCCAGGAGTGGTGAGAGCAGCAATCAATTGTGCTCTGTTTCCAAAAAGATCCAAACAACCTCCTGAGACTGACATCATTTTTAGTAAATTACAATTAAGCATCTAATGTCCATTTGAGGCCCAAGATTACACCAAGAATCGAGGCCTGCCACCAACACAACCCCTCACAGGACCATCTCTTTGTGTTTATTTGCCATTTGTTCTGGACTCACTCACGGATTCGACACGGCACGGGGAGGTGAGAGAGGAGTTATTCCTTGTTCTCCATTTTAGGAGATTAATCTCCTTTGTATTTTCACATTACCACACCCCCCCTCTGCTTCAAACTTAAAGCCACAGCTTTCAAATGCAAAGCACAGCTTCAGGAAATTATATCTGGGGAGGAATAAATATCAGATCCTTCGGGTTGGGGGATTTGCACGAGTCCATGAGCTGTTGGAGCAGCAAAGAGGCTCATGCAGAGGTCAGGAAAACAACCCCTGCCTCAGATAAATCAGGGAATCTCAGAGTTTGGAACTAGTCAGCCCTCCCAGAACACCCACATCAGGGCACTAAGGGCCAGAAAGCTCCCAAAGCCCTGAGTCCCACAGGTCTCCTCAGGGCACAGCAAGTGCAAAAAGACCTCACACACACACAGAACTCCTGCAGATTGTCCAGTCTCCAACCAGTGGGACACTGTCCTCTGCAATGCCCTGTTTCTGCCAGGGAAAAGAAAAACAAAATGTTCCATATGGAAAAAAAAAAGGGGGGGGAATAACCTGTCAATGTTTTTAAGATTTGATACCTAAATACAAGAGCAGCTCTCAAACGGGAACATCCGAGTGCAGCAAAAGAAATATTCCAGTTAATCATCAAGAGACCTCAAACTGGGAGACACAGACAATCCCCTTCCATCCTATAACAGAGAAAACAACCTGGACAGGGCAATAATAATGCCTTTAAATGACACAAACAGCACTGAGTCTGCTCAAGCATGACACATCACATCACCCTGCAATAAAAATATTAGTGCTCCTGTCCCTACAGGGACACCCTCAGGAAGTTCAAAAGCAACAAAAAGACACGATCCAAAATTCAAACCATCAGAGTTTATCAAACAAATCAAGGAATCTCAGAGTTTGGAACTAATCAACCTGCCCAGAACACCCACATTGTGGCACTAAGGGCCAGAAAGCTCCCAAAGCCCTGAGTCCCACAGGTCTCCTCAGGGCACAGCAAGTGCAAAAAGATCTCACACACACAGAACTCTTGCAGACTGTCCAGTCCCCAACCAGTGGGACACTGTCCTCTGCAATGCCCTGTTTCTGCCAGGGAAAAGAAAAAAAAATGTTCCATATGGAAAGAAAAAAAAAAGGGAGGAATAACCTGCCAATGGTTTTAAGATTTGATACCTAAATACAAGAGCAGCTCTCAAACAGGAGTGCAGCAAAAGAAATATTCCAGTTAATCATCAAGAGACCTCAAACTGGGAGACACAGACAATCCTATAACAGAGAAAACAACCTGGACAGGGCAATAATAATGCCTTTAAATGACACAAACAGCACTGAGTCTGCTCAAGCATGACACATCACATCACCCTGCAATAAAAAAGCAGTGCTTATTAGTGCTCCTGTCCCTACAGGGACACCCTCAGGAAGTTCAAAAGCAACAAAAAGACACGATCCAAAATTCAAACCATCAGAGTTTAGCGAGGAACTCGCTCTCAATTTGATTTTAAAGTAATGTAAATACATCTCTCATTGCTCAAAGAGCACAGAAATCCACCCGGCTTTGTTGCTGACACACCAAAAGAGCAGCTGTGGGGCAGGCTGGAACCTCTGCCCCCCTCCCAAAACACGTTCAGTGAGGGGCAGGCCGAGCACACACAGAGTCAGCACAGCCCAAACCAGGCCAGCTCTTTTTGCCTTGCTTTAAAAAAACAAAAATCAAAAATAAACACACACCTTCGGAGCGTGCCAAAACAGACAATATTTGGACAGACCTTTCAAGTTTCAAGGTCTTAAAAGCATTTTATAAAGGCAGTAAAACAAAAGAAAAGGGGAGAAGGGGGGGGGGGGGAACTACATAAAATTTCGACTGCCTTTTCAACTTTCCAGGGGAATAAAGATCCTATCCCATTCTGATTTTTTTTAAATCAAATTACAGCGGATCCTGCTGCTTTACAAGCCTGGATTTCCAAAGAGTCCCCAGCACAGCCTTTTTCTGACGGCCCCAAAACTCGCATGCCAAGCCCTTGTAAAAGCCCCACTGAGTGAGCCTCAGCTGCACGAAATCACTAATAAAAGAGGCTCAAGCATTTCACTTTACAGCACCACTGTGAGCTGCTGCATTAAAACCAGCCTTTGGCTCCAAGTCAGCTTTATTAGATCTGCCTTAGACTTTCAGGTGAGGCCCCAAAAGCCAGAGTGGCCCGGCTTTATTTACCATATTTCCATATTTCCACCGTGTGTTGGAGGGGCTGAGATGTGCAAAGCTCTTATTGAACTACAAACATCACTGTTTCCAAATCTACACTGCCCAGAAAATCCAGAAAAACCATCAGTGACAACATCTTACGGAGCTGTTTGTAAATTGAGGGTCCCCTGTTTAATTTTGTCTTTAGTGTTCCTATTTTCTTTTTACTAGAGAAAGTTTGGGTTCCCCCAAGCTCCACACAGGAACGGTTTTATAACTTATAGTTCAGCAAGTAATAATGTTCTGAAGGACTTCAAAGGCTTCTGCTGACATAGATTTTGCTATTTGAGTTTGCCTGTGGGGGATTTTTTTTTTCCACCCCCCCTAAAAAAGCCCCACCTCTTCCATCAAATCCTAAATTTCCTCTAATCCCATCTAAATCAACTGGCTCAAATCCTAATGAAGGTTTATTCATCCCTCTCCATCTGATAAGCATTTTTGTTTCACTGGGTTTATTTTCTTCCCCAGACACACAAAGACACAGTCAAGGCTCGTTTGCTGAGTCCAGGGGCCTCAATTAGAACTATCTGGACTTTCAGCCCAGGACGACACAGAGAGCCAAAGAGTCCTGAATCCAAAGCCATTCCCATGGAAGCTGCTCATGGTTTCAGTTCACAGCCACAAGCCTGGAATGGTTTGGGTTGGAAGGGACATTAAAGACCACCCAGTGCCACCCCCTGCCATGGGCAGGGACACCTTCCACCAGCCCAGGTTGATCCAAGCCCCATCCAACCTGGCCTTGGACACTTCCAGGGATGGGGCATCCTGTGGGAAATCCATTCCAGCCCCTCACCACCCTGACAGGGAAGAATTTCTTCCTAATAGCTCATCTAAACCAGCCCATGGAATCATGGAATTGTTTGGGAGCTTAAAGATGATCTCATTCCACCCCCTGCCATGGGCAGGGACACCTTCCACCAGCCCAGGTTGCTCCAAGACTCCTCCAACCTGGCCTTGGACACTTCCAGGGATCCAGGGGCAGCCACAGCTTCTCTGGGCAACCTGTGCCAGGGCCTCCCCACCCTCACAGCCAACAATTCCTTCCCAATCTCCCATCTCTCCCTGCCCTCTGGCAGTGGGAAGCCATTCCCTGTGTCCTGTCCCTCCATCCCTTGTCCAGTCCCTCTCCAGCTCTCCTGGAGCCCCTTTAGGCCCTGCCAGGGGCTCTCAGCTCTCCCTGGAGCCTCCTCTTGTCCAGGGGAACCCCCCAGCTCTCCCAGCCTGGCTCCAGAGCAGAGGGGCTCCAGCCCTGGCAGCATCTCCGGGGCCTCCTCTGGACTCTCTCCAGCAGCTCCACGTCCTCCCTGTGCTGTTCCCAGGGCTGGAGCAGCTCTGCAGGGGGGTCTCTGAGGGGGCAGAGGGGCAGAATCCCCCCTGCCCTGCTGCCCACGCTGGGGGACCAGCCCAGGGCACGGGGGGGGTTCTGGGTGCTGGGGCAGGTCCAGCCCCTCACCCACCAGCCCCCCAAAAATCCTCCTCCCCAGGGCTGCTCTCCATCCTTTCAAAATACACAGGAGATTTTCTTCTTTAATTGTATAAACACCAAAAGCATAACGGTTTGACAATTCCAGAAGCCCTCAAGCAGCTGAAATCCTTGATTCATGCACGAAAATTCTTCCTAAATTCCTAGAAACAGCCTCCCTTGCCCTAGATACATAAACAACTGTGTTGGTAAACACTTCCAAACCTTCTCCAAGATGAAAACATAACAACAGGTCAAGGGAATTTCCCACTGATCTGTTCAGAAACTAAACTGCCTCAGCATTGCCAAAATTCAGCACTACTGCCCAGGAGCATTTCACACCACAAAATGCAATTCCTGTCTCTGGTATTTACTAAAAATCAACAACTGTAAGTACATGGAGAAGTTCACAGGTGAGACACATCCCCTTGTTTTACAGCATGAAGAGCAGGTCCTCAGGCCATGAGTAAAGTTAATTATTTCTGCAGTTTCAGCCCCAAATAACACAAGAACCTGTGGTGCATTTCAGTTTGTCACAACTGCGGTGTCCCAAGGGATTGGGGTTTTTTTTTCTCCTCTACATCACAACCATGAGGAAGAAGTGACTGTTCCCAAACCTGCTCCTACTCCTGAGAGTCGCTCCTGGCACAGATATTTCTGGGCAGAACACAATCAAAAGGTGCTCACAGGGTTGGCACAGAGCAAAGGGGAAATTTTGCCTGTTCTGGGGACACTTTAAGCCCTGGATACCTTTCTCCTTGGATTCCAAACTTGGGACACCAACAGGTATCTGCTGGATGCTGCTGAATGTCACCCACCAGAGCTCAGGAGCTGAGGGCACCACAATTTAAGGGCTGCACAAGGATCTGGGATTTTCAAGTGCCACACAGGTATTTTGTGTTTTATGGTACTAATCCCCCCCAAAAAAAAAAAATCAAAGCAAAGCTGTGGGGAAGTGAGGGAGAGGGAAATATCAGGGTGAAGTTAAAGTTCTGCAGGCAGCCCGTGGTGTGATTAAATCTCAAAGAGGCTTTGAAGTCAGGCTACTTTCCTGTTAGTTGGTTACCAATTTGGCATCAAGAACTAAGCAAACAGGTTTTCTCCAAAGGCTCTCACATGGATCCTGATGCCAATTCCACTCACTGGCCCGATTTCCCTAAAATCCCAAGGCACCTTAATAAAAAGCAACCTTTCTAGGATAACGCTGTAAAGCAGCAGGGTTTTCCGTGGAGCAGAAGAGGGCTTCCCCCCCCTTCAAAACCAAAACCACCAAGAGAAAAATGAAAATGGGATTTATTTTTATGGCTTTGCTTTTCATTTGAATGCTTAAAAAGAAGCCAGCTCTGCCCTGGATATCCATCTCCCTGGGAAAGCCCTGTAAAACCCTGGGCACTTGCTCAGCTGCCACACAGGAACAATGGTTTGGGCTGAGGAGGAGAAGGAGAAATGTGGAAAATTACACGCTAAAATGTGGGAAAAAATGTGTTAAAACACATCTTAAGAGAACAGGTTCGAGACAAAAACCAAAGTGAGAGAGAGAAAGAGAAATCAAGAGCAGCCCCTTCCTCAGCCAACCTTTTTCCCGTGCCATGAGGTAAAGTGATCGTGCCCAAGGGGCAAAAAGAAAAAGAGAGGGAAGGAATAACCTTAAACTAATCCACTTCAGAAATGCAAGCCTGTTCCATTTCATGGGATGTGGCCTTCACTGATGGTTTATCTCTACCTCAAATGACAGCAACTTGAGCATATCTGAAAGCTTCGGTCTCCTGGACAGCCTCAAAAAAATAATCCTCAGGAATTCTCTCCTCTGCAACAGCAGCCCTGCACGAGGAATTAATTTTCTTTTAACAGCCCTTGTTGCTAAAAGGCATTAGAAAGTCAAAGTTTTAAGCAATAACCACCTGTGGCTGTTTAACACTATGATGTGCTCACACTGAACACGACAAGCCCAATTTCCTTTCAGTGCCTGGGCCATTTGGGGAATATTTGTGCCTGTTTTACCACCCACAGCCGACCCTGTCTGTCAATCCTGTCTTTACACACTAACATTTCTTTCTCTGGACTGTTTGTAACACAGAGAATGGTTTGGGTTGGATTTTTGTGAAGCTGCAAGATGTGCTTTGTACATAAATTAATGAGCACCAGCCTGGAACCCTGAATAGTGGCCACGGGAGAAGCTGGCAGTGAGTCCCCACAATATTCTACTTCATTTCACTGGGTAATCAGCACTTCCCAATTAAGTTTGCTTTGTTGGCTCATCCAGAGAGGAGGTTCATCATTCAAACTGTGAAGAAAGGAAATAAAGAGGCTGAACAACCCCACATAGAGTGAGGTGTGAGTGTCTCATAAAGCTACTTGAAAAGACAGGCAGTTTATAAACATAAACTGGTGAATGCATCATCTGAAAGTTTCACTAAATCAAAATATAAACCCCTCGTGGGGCTGGGGGTGAGGAAATCAGAGTCACTTAAGAATTTAGCCTCACATGAAAACACTACAGACAAAAAGTAACTATTCCAATTTCCAGGCACACACAGAAGTGTGAGGAACAGCTCTTGCCATGCCCTCAGCACTGCCAAGTTCTAAATATTGCAGCAAGACACTCACTTGCTTCTGAACACACTCACTTGAATCAAAATATCTCTGCAATATTCATTTTAAATTTTAAGGCTTTGCTTCTGGCCGAGCCACAAATGTTTTATTTAACTCTACTCAACTGCAGCTATAAACCCAGCTCATGGATTATTTCTCAATACTCAGCTTTGGAAGTGTTTCCTGTAAGTAACTGGGGCTGCCACCCACCTTCCCTGCATCAAGGTGGCTGTTTCTTGATTATTTCTGCCCATTTTAGGTGGTGGCAGAGAATCCAAGTGCCAGCAGCACTTACCTGAGCACACCTTCCCAACTCAGCCCTGCCCAGGTACTGGAATATCTTCAGTGCCAGCTCATAGGGCAGCTGCACATCAAAGAAAGGAACCTCATTGATTTCATTCTGGGAAGGAAAAAGAGAAAATAATTTTCTTTAGAGCACAGCTTGAGAGCAGGAGAAGTTACCATGGTATGGAGAGAGGATGTCGTGCCCTCAGTGCCACCACAGCTCCATAAAAAAGGAGTTATTCTGCCTTTCCTCCCTTTAATGGAACATCAGAACAACCAGGTACCCAGCTACTCTTTGTTCTGAGGCAGGTAAAGAATATTAGGTGGTTAAGTGGAGCTAAAAAGCAAATTGAGAAGAACTGTAAGGCTGATCTGAAGTCTGAAAGGCAAAGCACAAGCTCTAGGAAAATCTTTTATCTAATGTTCCAGTGCCAAACAGACCCAATAAATAAGCATTTTGAAGACACGTTCCCATTATTAATTTCACTTACAGGATTTCAAACACAGAGGATGGGAAAATGAACAAATATTTTGATGTAAAACCGAATGGGAGAGATGATGTTACAGTTTCCTTCATTAGTGACATATTAATGTCTTTTTAATATGAAATGTTCCTGCTTTTAACTGATCGAGTATCTCAACCACAAATTTAGAACCAAATCCATCAATTTACACTAACAGCTAAATGCAGCACATGGATTTTTTTCCTAGATGTGTTTTGTTTAACTGCATAATTATTACATATTCTTCCTGCAGTTATCACAACAAAATCTGTCTTCTCTCTCACACTGCCCGGATATTCCAAATTTTTATACTGTGCAATAAAATAGAACCAGCCCATTCTGATCATTTCTGTGTCACCCTTTTTGCTCTCCAGTGTTCTCTCCTGTCTTCTGTCCCTCCCCAGGTGCTCCTGAACACTTTATCACCCTCCATCCATCCCCAGGCACAAAACCAGCTGCTCAGTTAAAACCACTCTCCATTGCCTGCCTTCAGAAAGTCAGGAAGATCCCAAATCTGGATCCTCTCCTGCCTCTTGGCACTTCCCTGTCTCTGATACCTTTATTTGTTTTGGTAGGTCTCTTCTAGAACTACACCCTCTCCTTTAAACCTGGACCTTTTTCAGGACCAAAGTAGGAAAAAAAAGGCAATCCTGGGTTTATTTAAAGCAGAGTTACTCAGGGAAATCACAGTACAATGTGGTTGTGGGGAGGTTTTTAATGCAAAAGATATTCTACAGCAAGTCGGTGTTTACACAGCACAAACACGGGCAACGTTCCCATTAGGTCTTTTTAGCAACAAAACACCGATTTATGCAGACTGGAGCCTCACACTAGCTCTAAAGTTACTTAAACCAGGACAATTTTCCTGCCCAAACAGCTCCCTTTCCCCTCCTTTCCCCCTGCACGAGGATCGCTGGCTCCACTCCCCGCTGTGGCTCTGCAAGGAGATTGTTTGCCCCGCTGTGATTTAAATCCCATCCATTTCCAGAGGGGACACCAAAGGCAAAACACAAAGGGAACACGCAGACAAGGCTCCAAGCTGGCCAGATGTGAATCCACCCGGATCCAGGAGCCATCCCGGAGCTGCCCAAACAAATCAGAGGAGCCATTGGGCAAGGATTGTTAAGCTCCAGGCTTATGAGCTCAGGCACGGCACCACTATGGATGTGCTGCTTCCAAATTGGAGTTGACTCACTTCCAACCAGCAGATCCTGCTCTGTCTGGATGGACAGAGGTGTCATCAGGACTGACTGACTGCAGACACAACAGGCAAGACCTCCGGTGCTCTCAAGAAAAGGTGGGGAAAACCAGAAAAAAACAGACAGAGAGATGATTTTTTTTTTATCAATCTGTAATATAATTTATACCTTCCTTCCAATAAACCCAGAATTGCCTCTTTTTCTTCTACATTTGTACTGCAAAGGGTCCATTAAACGAGAAGTAATTGTAGAAGAGACCTACTAAGACACAAAGGTACCAGGGAGAGGCAAGTGCCAAGAGGCAGGAGATGATCCCGATTTGGGATCTTCCTCACTTTCTGAAGGCAAACAACTGAGACAACGACAGAGCACAAGCTCCTACTGATTCCATTCTAATGCCATCCTAAAATAAGAGGCAGATCAACGTCTTCCCACCTCCCAAAAACCCCAGCAGCTTGTCCTCAGCACAAGCAAGCAGGGATGTTAAGTCAGCACCAGCCTGTCTAAAAGTCTACTGGAATGAATCCAGAACTCAAATACAACCATCCCCTCTGAGACAGATGCGGGCTCCTGTGTGCTAATGGAGCACTAATTCTGTAAATGGATTAATTTGTGCCTTGCAGACAGAAATTTAATCTGCTCCTTTTAATTTTTTTTAAGCAAAGAGTAATTAGTCACAGGGAGGTGAGCGAGAAACAAGAAAATGGGTTTCCCCCCTAGTTTTCATGCGCTGTAAATAAAAACCTCTACGGCATTCAGAGGATTTACCAAAATAACTTTTATCTGGTTCAGAGCTGTATTTAAGACTATTTCCAAATTAACTCCTTTATTTAAAGAATTAAAGCTTGTTTTCTTATTACGTGTCACAAGGCGGGATATCCCTAATTACTGCACGGGCACCAAAGAGCCCAAGTAAGCAACTGCCTCCTTATCCGCAATTCTCCGGCACAAACAGCTCCCTTTCCCTTCTTCTAAGGTTTTTAAGAGCAAAAATAAAATACTATTTATCGAGCCATGGAATATCCCGAGTTGGAAGGGGATCACGGAGCCCAACTCCCGGCCCTGCAGGGGACGAGGCGAGAATCCCACCCTGGGCCATTAAAGACTCACGGAATACCCTGAGGTGGAAGGGACGCACAAGGACGACATGGGAAAAGCAGATTTGGGAGGGTTAAAGCTTTGTAGGTGGGATACGCTCGGAAGCTGAGGTTTTAACAAGCAGAGAGGAACCCAAAACCGGCATCCCCTTCCCGGGCCGGGCACAGCCGAGCCGCTCTCTCCGCTCCGGGAACGGGCCCCAGCACGGCCCCTCCTCCCCCTGCCCGCCCCTGTGCCCGGGGCAGGACCGCCGGCCCCGCACGGCCCTACCAGGTCTCGGATGAGCTGCCCCAGCAGATCGTCGCCATCGCCGGCTCCGTCCCCCGCGGGCTCCCCGGCGGGGCGGGCGGGCGCGGGGCCGCGCAGGGCCGGGGCGCCGCCGGCCAGCAGCCCGCGGGCCAGCGCCAGGTACCCGGGCTCGGCCGGGGGCTCCTCCCGGGGCCGCTCCTCCCGCCGCGGCCGCTTCGCGCCCCCCGCCCGCTCCGGCCGCTCCTGAGGCCGCCTCAGCTCCGCCGGCACGGCGGCCATGGCGGCGGGGCCGGCCCGGCGAGGAAACCGCGCCCCGCGCCCGCGCGTTCCGCGCACACAACGTTCCGCCGGGGCGGGCCGGGGCCGGGAGCGCGGCCACGATGGGGTCGCGGCCGGCATTTCGTGGTCCCCACACGAGGACCGCGATGGCGGCCTGAGGGCCCGGCCCTGGAGAGCCGCGGGCGGCCGAGAGAGGCCGCGGCGAGGGCAGGGTCTGTCTGTGCCCCGTCGGGAGCCCTCAGCCATAGCCAGGGCCACGGCAGGGTCCCGCTTGGGAACCCTCAGCCATGGCCGGGGCGAGGGCAGGTCCCGCTGGGAGCCCTGAGTCCCTTCAGCTCCCTCAGCCCCCTCTGCCATAGCCAGGGCGAGGGCAGGTCTCACTGGGAGCCCTGAGTCCCTTCAGCCATGGCCGGGGCGAGGGCAGGTCCTGCTGGGAGCCCTGAGTCCCCTCACAGCCGTGCCCAGCCCGTGCGGGTGGTTGCCCGTAGAAGTGGCCGCTCTGGGTGATGGATAAACCCCGCTTGGGTCATTTTTTCCGTTCTGTTCGCCAAGTCTGAACCAAGCTGGTGGGCAAGGGTGGTGCCACCTCTAGGGTGTTTTGCTGCTCAAACACAGGCGTCTCCTCCTGCTGCCACCACAGCCCCAGAGCTGCCCCTTTCATGGCACTTTGGGGAGGACACGACGTTGGCTCAGCATCTCTCCAGTGCCAACCCACCCTGGGGATCGAAGGCTGTGTTTCAAATGATGCTGAACCACAAATGTGGAGCTGCTGCTGCTTCAGCCAGTGCTGCTGCCCAGGGGAGGGAAAGGCCACGAGTGTTCATGTCTTCAGCACGACTTCTGTGGAGTCTTCAAGGAAATAAAACAGGTGAGTGAGCTGTCTGTGTAAGTCAAACAGTCCTTGCTGGGCTCTGGTGAACAGGTTAAAACACAGCCCTTACTCTCAGCAGCAGCTGAGGGTACCTTCACCCTTGTGTCCACCTCCAGCTTCCTCAGTGGCCACTTGCTGGCTCTCCTCCTTTGAAGCTTGTTGTTATCCGTGCAGTTTATAAAACCCAGCTTAACGAACACAAACAGGTGGTTGGGATTCCAGGGAGAACCCAACCAACCTCATTTAGGGGAGAAGCTCCTGCATTTAGTAACCATGCAAAAGAGTGGTGGGTGAGGGGCCATTGGGAAGAAATTGTTCCATGTGAGGGTGGTCAGGCCCTGGCAAAGGTTGCCCAGACAAGCTGTGGCTGTCCCATCCCTGGAAGTGTCCAAGGCCAGGTTGGAGGAGTCTTGGAGCAACCTGGGCTAGTGGAAGGTGTCCCTGCCCATGGCAGGGGGTGGGATGGGGTGAGTTTTAAGGTCCCAAACCATCCTGTGATGCTATAACTTATTTTCCCTATAAAAGAATCCCTTGGACTCAGAGGAGGATCACCCTGGGGTACACACACTGACCACGGGGAGCCCTGCCAGGGGAGGGATTGCAGAGCAGGAGCTGCCCCAGCGTTGGAATGCAGGGCTGCTCCAAGGAGGGATGGTTGGGAAGAAAGGGAGTCCAGGAGGGTCTCTCTAGACCCCTTTGCAATACCAGGGTAATTTGCCAAGAGGGTGGCAGCAGCCTCCCTGCAAGGCAGGGGTAAAACAGGCCAGTTTGGGGTAATTCCTGCCCCACAGGGAGCTGCAGGGAGCCCGTGCTGCCATCCCAGGGCTGGTGTGTGGTGGGGGTCCTGCCCATGGTCCCAGCCCTTGGTGTGTGGTGGGGGTCATGCCCATGGTCCCAGCCCCTGGTGTGTGGTGGGGGTCCTGCCCATGGTCCCAGCCCTTGGTGTGTGGTGGGGGTCCTGCCCATGGTCCCAGCCCTTGGTGTGTGGTGGGGGTCATGCCCATGGTCCCAGCCCTTGGTGTGTGGTGGGGGTCATGCCCATGGTCCCAGCCCCTGGTGTGTGGTGGGGGTCATGCCCAGGGGTCCCAGCCCTTGGTGTGTGGTGGGGGTCATGCCCAGGGGTCCCAGCCCTGTGCACCGGCAGAGGGGAGGCTCTGCCCTGGGTCAGTGCTGGGGCTGCTCCTGCCTCGGCCGCCTGAAATGTGATCCGAATCTGTAATGCTGTGGGTGATGAAATCAGCTCCGGCTCTGTGTAATCCCCTCACTGCCCCCCTGCATCTCCTCGCTGTCCCCTCCTCCAGCCCCGCTGTCTCCTGCATTCTCCTGCTGTCTCTCCATCCCACACTGTCACCTGCATCCCCACTCTCCCCTTTATCCCACACTGTCATCTGCATCCCTGTGCTGTCCCCTCTATCCCCACACTGTCCCCTCGATCCCGTACTGTCCCTCTATCCCCACACTGTCACCTGCATCCCCACCCTGTCTCCTCGATCCCACACTGTCCCTCTATCTTCATGCTGTCTCTCCATCCCCAGAGTCCCCACACTGTCCCTTCCACCTCAAACTTCCCATCAAACTTTCACACCATTCCTGGATACCAAAACGTTCCACCACACAAGCACTGTTACCTCCACTCCCCCCATTCCCCAATGTCCCTCCATCCCCACACTGTCCCCTCCATCCCCACACTGTCCCCTCCATCCCCACACTGTCCCCTCCATCCCCACACTGTCCCTCCATCCCCACACTGTCCCTCCATCCCCATGCTATTCCCCCATCCCTATGCTGTCCCATCAAACTCCCACGCCACCCCTGGATACCAAAATGCCCCACCACACGAACACTGTTTCCCCCATACTCTCCATGTCCCCCCATTCTCCCCATGTCCCTCTGTCCCACTCTGTCACTGCACTGTCCCCCCATCTCCACGCTGTCCTGCCCATCCCCATGCTGCCCCCCCCATCTCCACACTGTCCCACCAGAATCCCATACCCTCCCTGGACACCAGAACGCCCCACCACACAGTCCCTGTCCCCCCATGCCTCCCATTCCCCCATGTCTCTCCATCCCCACAGTCCTTCCATCCCCACACTGTCCCTCCATCCCCACACTGTCCCTCCATCCCCACACTGTCCCCCCATCTCCACACTGTCCCTCCATCCCCATGCTGTCCCCTCTATCCCCACACTGTCCCACCAGAATCCCAAACCCTCCCTGGATACCAGAAGAGCCCACCACACAGTCCCTGTCCCCCCATGTCCCTCCATCCCCACACTGTCCCCTCCATCCCCACACTGTCCCACCAGAATCCCACACCCTCCCTGGATACCAGAACGCCCCACCACATAGTCCCTGTTCCCCCATATCCCCCCATTCCCCAATGTCCCCCCCATCCCCATGCTGTCCCCCCATCCCCACACTGTTCCCTCATTCCCCCATGTCCCTCCATCCCCACGCTGTCCCCTCCATCCCCACGCTGTCCCCCCATCTCCACGCTGTCCCACCAAGCTCCCACGCCCCCGGACACCAGACGGCCCCACCACCCGACCCCCGTGCCCCGCTCCCCCGTCCCCGCTCCGTCTCCCCCCTCTCGCAGCCCGCCCGGCCCCGCCCCGCGGGGGCTGATGTAACCGCGGTCCCCCCCGCCCTGCGGCCGGTCCCGCCCGGCGCACACTCCGCGGGCTGTGTGCGAGCGGAGCGCACCCAGCCATGTGCCCGTGCGCGCTGCGCGGCCCCCCCGCGCCCTGCAGCCCCTGCGGGCCCGGCCGCGCCGCCCGGCCCGAGGCCGCCGCCCGCCGGGTCGCCGCCCGCCTGCGCCGCCTGGGCGATGAGCTGGAGCAGCGGCGCAAGGCGCGGGGCCGCGGGCCCTCGGCCGCCCGCCGCCTGGCCGCCGTGGCGGGGCTGCTCTGCGCGCTCACGCCCGCGGCCGCGCTGGCCTGGCTGATCCGCAGGAGGAGCCTCTAGGGAGAGCGGCGCCGCACGGAGCGGGGAGCAGGCGGGACGCGCAACAGGTGGGTAGGGGATGGCACGGGACGGGGATGGGATGGGGACGGGGCGAGGCTCCGCAAGGGGCAGGGGCTTGGTCCGGCCGGAGGGATCCGGCCCCGGGGCTCGGCTTGGCGGAGCGCGCTGTCCGCGGTACCCGCCGGGCTGCGGACGGTGATGCGGGAGTGCAGGGAGACACGGGCAGTACAGGCGCTGCCGACTCGCACCGACCCCGGCCCCTCTACTTCTTCTCCCTCTCCCTGGGCTGCCGGTACCGGCGCTGCCAGGTCGCGCTGACCCCGACCCCTTTCCCTCTTCCTCTCTCCTTTCCTCTCGCTTTCCTTCTCCCTCTCTGTCTCTGGACTGCCAGTACCGGCGCTACCAGGTCGCACTGACCGCGACCCCTCTCCATCTCCCTCATCTTCTCCCTCTCCTTGGGCTGCCGGTACCGGTGTTGCTAGGTCGCACTGACCTCTCTCCTCTCTCCCTTTCCTCCTTCCCTCTCTCCTCTCCATCTCCTTTTGCCTCTCCCTCTCCCCTTTCCCAGGACACCCCAAACGCCCCCTTTCCCTGTCCCCAAACTTTCACGGTTCCTCCCCGGTGCCTCCCCTCTGCCCGGGGCCGTCCTTGCCCCCGTGGGGCAGTTCCAGCTCCCTGCCGGCAGCTCGGGGAGGTCGGAGCAGGTCCCGCATCGCCCTGACTGCCGGCGCCGGGAGCTGAGGGTGCCCTGCACACCCGTTCCTGCCGAGCCTGCAGCCCTCTCTTGTCTGGGGAGGGGCTTTCCCTGTGTCCTGCCATTCCCTGGTGGGCTCTAGACCCACGGGTGCTGTGGGGCACCCATTGCTAAGGTGGCTGGGTGGTGGGATATCCCCACAGGACCATCCAGCGGGGCAGCCCGGGACACTGGCTGGCTGTGCATGGCTCTGTGTGTTGGATAATGCCCTACTGAGCATACATGGGGTCACCTCAGGGATTTTGGATGCTCTGAAATCCTCTGGGTTGTGAATTTGTCCCCACAGACCTGAGGAGCAGGGGCTCTTGTCTTGGCTGCTTTAAATTGCATCATAAACGTCCCCAATGTCTGTCTGTGTTCAGGGAAGACTTAAAGTGCATGTACAACTTTCAGCATGCACTCGTATCCCAC